TTTAACTTAATTTTAAATATTTTAAAATATTTTTTGGTACCTATATAGTTATGTCTTAAATCTTTAATATTTTATTTAAAAATTTAAGATGATCTTTATAACCGAACATAAAAATAAATTTTGTCCTAAACAGAAATTAATATGTCATATAAAACATTTTTCAAAATCTATCCTTGCACAGTAGGGCATCAAATCACGGAACATCGACACCCTAGCTCTCCGTCCCCTCGTTCCCCAGTTAACCAACCTTTTTATCTCTCTTTCCCTTTTCGATTCCCTATTTCTCTCTTTTTTTCATATGGTTTTGTTTTTATTTTTTTGGTTTCTTAGCCGGGATTTTTGTTTGAGAAATTGTAGGGGCACTCGCTTTGTGCACTCTCCGGCCAACACTTCCCCTTTCGTTGAGCCACGTAAGCTTCTTTAAAGATTTCAGCGCAACCTCTCGGAAACCAAAATAACGTGGCCCAATAAAAGAGAAAGTGTTGGCCGGAGAGTGCAGGAGGCGAGTGCCCCTAGCATTGCTCTTTTTGTTTTGTCTCCCCCCTCAAAGCCGCCTTCTTTTTGTCTTTTTTTTTTGGAAAATTCAAAGCCACCTTCTTTTTTTCTTTTTTCTTTTTTCTTTTTTTTTTTTTTGAAAATTCAAAGCCGCCTTCTATGATGGTTCATCCTTCCGAACATCGATTTTGTTAGTTTATCATTATTTTATTTTTTTTATTTAAATAACAAAATTAATTGATAGACATTGTGTTATTTAAAACTACTTTTAATGGTATAATTATCTTTTTTTTATCTTTTAGTGTTGGTGGACTTGTGGCTGAGAATGTTTTAGGGGGCGCTATATTACCTCAAAATACTTTTACGTTGACTTGTAATTTTATTATTAGATTACACATTGAATTTAACTGTAATATTTTTATTTACCAAAAAAAACCTATTATATTTATCTAATCATTAAATTTTTTTTATTATAAAAAGCTTAATCAAATATTATATATTTTTAAGGTTAAATTTTATAATATTTTTAGTGTACTTACATCCTATAAATTAACTTATAATTCTTTTAATTTTTTATTATAAATAAATAAATTTAATTTTACCTTTAAAAGGAAGCACACCCGTTGTATGAGCTAATGACTACTATTTAAAAGTCTAAGGAACAATACTGGACAGTAGATACCAATGGCTAATAATATATGCTTAAAACTAAGGGCTTATATAACTAGAGATTAATGTGGTTAGAGACCCCAAAATTTGGGAAATAATTGGCAGCTGGATTTCAAAATAAAATTACATGAAAATAAATGTATGTAGAGATACCAAATTTTCAAAAATAATTAGCATTGTATTGGATCAATAAGAGTTTGATCAAATTAATATTCATTAACTTAAAAATTTTGATTTACAATAAATGTCAAAAATTTAAATTTCTATATTATCAAACAACTTTCTCATATAAATCAGGTCTTCAAATCCAATAATTTTTCTTAAGTTTTGATACTTAGGTTTAATTGATTGAGAATTTGACTCTCACTAACGATTTAAAAAAAAATCTTTCATTCTCCAAAATTCTCCATATTCAAAAAAAAGAAAAAAAAAAAAAAA